TGGCTCCAGCCCCGGGGTCCTCCTGGGGGATCCTGCACAGCTTTGGCTTGCGGGGGAGGCAGTGAGCCCAGTGCTGTGCCGGGCAGCGGCACGGCAATGGGATTTGGCGTGTGCTGAGCCATGCTGCGAGGCTGGCAGGGCAGAGCTCAGGCGGATGGAGCTGGGTACAAGCTTCCCGCAGCGTGGACACGGTGTGTGGCGTGCGCCGTGCTGTGTGGCAGCAGAGGGTGACTGCCAGGACAGTCATCGGGACCCGGTTCCTCAGTGGGTGGCTGCACAGGACCAGCTGGCCTGCCTGCCTCAGCTGCCTACGGGTCTGCCCTGGGGATGCCCGGGCAGCCGGGCTCCGGTGTACCGGCGCTGTGCACTGGAGCAGGTTTCAGGCATGAGGATGGTTAGTGCCAGCTGACTCCTGGCCACTGACCCAAGGAAGGGGAGCCCAGGGCTTCTGCAGCCTCCACCCCCCTGTCCCCAGCTCAGCCCTCCAGCCTGGCCTTTGAGGCATCAGCAGAAAGGGGTGCCCCCATCACCTCTCACTTGCCTGGAGCAAAGGGGTGAACGTAGGGCAGCAGAGGCTGCAGGGCATGGGTGTGGGGAGGGATGGGGGCAGATGTGACCTCCCTCTGCTGCATACCGTGTCCCAAAGCCTTGCCAGGCAGCAGTGGGACCTATCGAGGCATCACATCATTTGCAGCTGGAGCCTCCTACTCCCATTCCCCGAGCTGAATCGGTCCCTCGTGCTTCCTCCTGGGAACGATTCAAACACAGCGCAAGCTGCTTGGCAGGCAGGTTGAGTCCCAGCTGTGATGTGTGGGCTTGGGCGCTCCCGTGCCTCCCAGCTGTGGCCCCAACGCAGGGGCACCCGGGCTGCCCTGCACCCAGCTGTCATGTGGCAGGGAGCTCCAGGCTTCATCGGTCCCAGTCCTGGGGCCCCATGTGTGCCTTTATGTTCGGAGAGCTCTTGTACCCCTGCTGCAGTGGGTGGATACGTGAGTCGCAGCATGTCCCAGCAGTGATGGAGGGCTCCCAGGCTGCAGCACATCCCAGTGGGGCAAGTGGCCTGGGGTCCCAGGACGCCCAGCCCATAACGAGCAGCCCCTGGAGCAGAGGTCACGTCCCGAGGGATGCTGGAGAAGGAAAAGAGCTTTTCCTGCAGCCGTGCTTGCAGGAGTCCTTCCTTCCCTCTGGGCACGAGGTGGACTTCATCCAGAGGCTGGAAGTTTTACGGCACGAGGGTGGCCAAGCCGTGGGGCCGCTGCCGGCCAGCTGCCTGCTCGGGAGCAGGAGCAGCGCCGAGGCTGGAGCATGTCCCCTCGCACTGCCGCTTGCAGCCTGTGCTCACATGGTAAATAACTCGTGCGGATCCTTTAAGTAAGAGCCGCGAGTGGTAAATGATCTTCTCCTATTTAACGTCACAAATCCACATTCTTTATGGGATAGCAAATTAAGAAACTATGGGGGAAAAAAATCCCCAGCGTAAGCATCTTCCGTGTAATAAAGCCCGGCTGGGTTGTAAATCTCCCCACGCGGCAGGGACAGCCCTGAGCTGCAGCAAGGCTCCCCTGCAGCCCTGCTGACAAATGTGCCCCCTGCGTCGGCTGCCGGAGGGTTGTGCCAGAGCCCCGGCGAAGCCTCTTCCGACCCCTCGAAGCCGTGCCGTGCTCTGCAGCCCCCCGATCCCTGCTCTGCTCGGGGGTGCAGGGCTGGGCTGCCCCTGCCCGGTGCCCACCAGCACGCTGCCCGGCGCCTGGGGGAGGGCGGTGGGTGCGGAGCCCTGCCGGCTGGGTGAGCACAGCTGCGGTGCTGAGGGCGTGAAGCATGCGGTGCCGGTGCGGGAAATCAATAGCGCTCTTTACGTGCCATTAAGCAGGAGGTTGGGAAGCGTCCCCACGGGGCTGGGGCTCTTCTATGGCAGGTGGTTTGCGCCTGCCCTTGCCACCATGGCTGGCACCCCGGTATGGCCACAACCTGAGGCTGGTGCTGGCCACGTCAGGGGTGGGGGGCACTGTGGGAAGGGAGAACGGTGCTTTGGGGACAGGGGGGATGGGCAGCTGGGGTGGGCAGGGGTCTGGGGGTCACAGGAGGAGGTGCGTGGAGATGGTCCCCCCGGCTGGCAGCAGCATCCCGCCTGCTCGCCGGCAGTGTCTGCGGCAGGAGGCTCCGCTCATGGCCGGGCGGGAGCTGGGTGCCTTTTTCAAAACCACATCCCCTGTCAAAAGCCTTTTGTTTCTGATCTGTAGCTGCCGAAGCCAGTCCTGCCAGGGCTGGAGGCTGGAGGGGAGTGGCGAGGTTGCTGAGAGCTGGCAGCATCTCTCAGAGCTGGCACTGGCCCCGGGTCTTCAGGCAGGGTCTCCCGCCTGCCCCAGACATGGGTGGTGCAGGGGGTCTCCCCGGCACCCCATGCAGACCCTAGTGGGGGGGAAGCCGAGACAGGGAGAGCATCCTTGGCTGCACCCCACATGCACCCCAAGAGATCCTGCGTGGAGGCAGCAGGCTGTCGCCCCTGCCTCCTCCCAGCAAGGCTCTGCCTCCACCCCCCCTGCAACCCGTGCCGCTCCCGATGCGGGGACTCTCTCTGACCTTTCTGCCAGAACTGTACTTAATAAATGTCACATTTTCAGCCTATTTTTACGCTGGGTAAAAGAGCTGGACTCGTTGCTCCTCACCTGCCCTGCCCCACCTGATGCCTGCTCAGCCCCCAGCATTCACCCACCCCGTTTCCCTCTCCCCCTCCCTGCGAGCAGGGGGCTCGCCGGGTACCCCTCAGCCGCTCACTGGGCTCCAGGCACTGCAGGACCTGCCTTGGCCAGGGCACAGAGGGGCTTGGCGCCAGGCAGTGCCCTAAGGGTCCCAACGCAGCGTCATCCCTGCTGGAGGGTGGCATGGCTGTGGCTGTGGTGGGTGTCCTGCCCATGGCAGGGGCTGGCTGGGCTGAGGCTGGCAGTGTTGGCACCCAGGACAGCCTGGAGCATCCCTCGCCAATCCCATGCCTGTGAGCTGCCCAGCCATGCCCATCTGGGTCACTGTGCTCTCTGCTCACCGGATCCATGTCCTGCATCTCCAGCCCAGTGCCTGAGACACCTCCCCAGGGGCTCGCAGCCCATCCGGAGCCCCCCATCCTCGCCGCCCTGCCGCTGTGCTTGTGTGTCCCCAGATCTGTGTCCCAGGTGGTGCAGACATGCCGAGGGTTGGTCGTGCTCCCGTCCAGAGTGGTGGCAGCGGCAGCTCCGGTAGTTACACATGAGCCGCCCGGGCACGGCTCGAGGCACTGTTTGTGCCAGAAAACAGGGGACTTCAATGCAATTCG